AGCTTACAAGGTCCCAGCATTTTTTGTTATGTAAATCTTTGCTTACTTATAAGTAGTCAGTTATGTACATGGTAAATTTTGTTGCATGAAAGGTACCCATAGATCCCAATAACTTTTCTGTTTAAATGATTTCAAAAGATATTTTGTTGAGGGGTAGCGTGATCGAAATGAACAAACTACTTCAGTATTCAACTGTCGAATCTTTAACACTTTCCTTGTAAAACCCATTAAATGTAATTTTATCCAATGCCTTTGTTCGAATAACTTAACTCGTTCCAAAAGATCAAGTTAACTTATCGATAAAAGTTGATGAAATTCGAAGGTGAGGTATATCTCCAACACATTCACGACGCAAATGTCAAATGGAAAAAGACAGTTTGAATCTCAAGGGACTAAAATATTATTTATAACATTTTGAAAATCTGTTTTTCTAAAACTCTGTGTTTTTTCGTAGCTTCCTTAAATATAAATGTATATATTAAAATGTAAGTTTGGTTAATTACTTTTTATCAGAAGCTAATAATGACAGTGAGTAATCGATAAAACGAGTAAAAATCAGTTATGACACACGATATAAATCCTTTTTCGAACATTATTTATATGGTTTTTTTTTCTAATTTTCATAACAATTAACTCGGGTCACTTAGCTTCAAAATACTATTTACAGGTGACTGATTATAAATCAGTTGGACAGGAATTAATCTTGATAAGTTTAACTTAATGAGGGAAAATTATATCCGCATTAGTGAAAAGAACTTAAATTGTTAAAGTTTAATAAGTTAGAAAATTGTTTATTAAAAGGGGCCGGATTTTCAAATGATCGATTAGCATTAATTTGAAAACAGTTTTCACCGCTAATTATTATCAGTTAGTAATAAACTGAAAATGGCAGAGGCTTTTTTAACAGTGTGCATTAACGGTCGTACATCAGATTAAACTATTATTGAATGTTCTGCATTTTCCAACCTCATTTGTTTTACGCTTACCACAAGACTTGATAATTCTGTGTTCAATGTCGTGTGATGTTCTGTTTCCTAACTTTTGATAAGTTTTAAAGATATCTTGTGCTTCTCAAAATTTCAATGATGTTTCAGTTCATGCTAGTTTATGATGGAAAATATCTTCAAAATAGAATGAATCTTCGCAAATCACTTAACCAAATAACCTTGATTACATGTACATTGTTTCCATGATCATATTGAAAAGATCAAGGCGAAAGATTTGAGCAGAATAGTATGAATTACTTTTATTCCGTTGATAATTTATTGATTGGGAAGAAACATCGATATGATAGATTTTCATTGATGTCTTAAGTCAGAAGTTTTATATCTCTATTCACTTAAGCAAATACACAGTGAAATACGTTTTATCATAATAGTTAATCAATGTATTTCGATATCGTTCAAAAGGATAACTATTATGAGTAAAACATAAATCAGGTCAAGTTCAAAATGAATACTAGTTAATGCTTTAACTTACAACATAATTCAGAATAATACTTATTGTCATAAAATCCTAGAAGTATATCTCTTATCAAATGTAATATGATCATTTGCATAATTTAACTTGCTAGAATTCATACATACACAAATGAATGTAAATGAGAAATAAAGAGAAATAAATGCGTTTTAAGTATAACTTTGTTTCGTTTCACCTTCTATTTGTTTTTATCAATCTGTTATCATAACTTCTTTCTTAAACTGATCATATTACTAACAAGTATTTGTATGATTAGATTGTTTGAAACAGATTACAGTAATATATCATAAAAAAAAGACAATCTACATTTTCTTATTAAATTCTCTAAATTTATCTTTAATAGCTTTTCAGATTGAAATAATGATTTAATCCAGTCTATATAAATTAAATACCTATGTGTCATTGACTTTATTCAAGTTCTTAACAAAGTTCATTACTGCTTAATATATTTAATAGTTTGTTCATACGGGAATACATAGAGTTATGTTTTAAACAAGAACCATGTTGTTGAATGATCAGCACTTGGACCATTAAGCTACGACTGCAGGTGTAATTACAATCAGTCAGGAGAATGAATCTACATCGAATAATGATTATGGTGTTATCTCGGAAAATTTACAGCAAATCTACTTGTGTGTTGTATACATATTGAATGCCTTCTAAGATATTGTAGTAAAGGTTTATGATTGAGAAATGAAACAGATTAATCCCCGTTGTTATTTGTAAATCCTATGTGGGTTGCTTAGATGTAGTGTTATGTTGCTAGTCCTAGTATATTTTGTATTTTACTATCAGTGAGGTAGACGACGAGCGTTTCGTTTTACTTGGGATTCTTCCGAAGCTTGTACCCATCTACATACCAGTATTAACATTCACACTGATACTTGAATCTAGTCAGTAACGTGTTAAGAATTACGAAAAATAGGTACTGTGTTTGAGTATTAATGTGAAAATGAACACTAGAATGTAGATGTAACCAAATGACGAGTTCCAAGTAAGACGAAATATTTGTTATCTATTTCACTGATACCCAAATACACAACATGTTAAATGCTGACGTTCTATTCTCTTAACTGTGTGAAATTCTTTAACTGTTCTTGCGAAAGGAATTAGCTAATGTTTTCTCGAGTTATCGATGTATGATGAACAATTAATTCTAATTAAACATGAGCTAAAGTATTTTTGAAAACCAGGAACATTGGAATAGCTGTTTCATCAAACTTAACATTATTATAGAAGTAACTATCTGAAATAGGAAGGTAATTAAGAAAGAAATCAAGTTCTTTCTCTAATTGCCATGACTACGCTACATTTGGTAACGGACATAAATAGAAATAACAAACTTTATTTAATACCAGGTAGGTTGAGTAAGTCAACACTGACTGCTTTTGATAAGTGTTTGTTCTGAACTTTTTGAATGTCTGTATAAAACATAGTGGATTGAACATTTTAGTATGAGTGTTGGAAAGTAGCCTCCTGACGAAACGAATGACATGGACTAACTAGAGCGTTCTATAAATACATATGCTTTTCCCATTTTTCATTACCGGTTCAAGTGCGGATAAATACTAGGTTTTCTTATGTATTTTCAGTAGTTGAGAAATCGGTTGAATTACTGAGGTGGGATGGGAGTTATGTTGAGTCAACAGGTCGTCCAGCTCTGATACTGAATACTGCTAGCCCACCTTGTTACTTGAATAGAAATATTACTAGTGAATAGCATGAATTTTGTGACTATCTCGAATCGAAATTTATGAGCAAACTCATTCTTTAAGATAGATTTGTGGTCCTCAGAAAATTAAACCATATTTGCGATTAATAGCTTAAATCGGGTAGTTGAGTCAATTTTTGACCTGTATTGTGTACATATCAGTATTTCTCACTTATCATTTGACCCTTAACTGATATCCCTATCTGGTCCAGCCTATCGGGATTTAACGCGTTCGAAACCCTACTCTACTCATTTCCAGTTTACGTTTATCTTGATTTTGTGCATGCGTTAATTCTGATTGCAGTCGATTGCTTTCTATGCGCTTACTGAGTCGTCCGCTCACCTTTTACTCTTGTTCTTTAGTTTTTCAGATAACCTCACATACTGCCTCTTACAAGCACATGGTACCTCCTGGCTGAGAGCAATCTAAACAAAAGCTGAAGTTACAAGGATAGTTAAGGTTCAATAAAAGTACATTTCGCAATGCATTAAATCTTGAGTGACTAGTGAAGGACTTTATCATTATTTGGTTATCCTAAAGATATTTTTTATTAGAGATCAGTATCACTTAGAAAAACTGTTTCATTATAATCTGAGGTTAATTAACAGCTTGAATGATTAAACCTACATAGATTAGTCTTTGGTCAATCAAGATAATTTGTAACCTTTAAAATACAATCCATCAGAAATAATGTTACTTTCAAAATTGTTACGATGAAAACTTGATCAACAAATCCTTATCATTGTTGATTGATCAAATAAAATACATCATCAAGCACATTTAATTTATCAATTAAAGTTATGGAGATTGGTGTTTGTTGCACATTGAGATCATCAATCAATCATTCTTAGACTACCATCAGAAACCTGAAAGCACTGGACGGCCATTTTGTATCCCCTACTCCTGCACCTCGAAGGATTCGAGCCCAGGACCTTCGGTCTTTGCGCGCGAACGCCTAACCTATGGACAGAATAAATATTCTCAATTTATGCTATCTTAAACTTTTCATAGCATTCAATTATAAATCCAATCTTTATTTTAATAGTCAAAGACTCATCATCATAATTTAAGAACATAATTAGTGAAACAATTTGTAACAAAGTCACTTTTATTATTATTATTAGTAGTATTATCATCATTTGACTGTATTTCAAACAATTGGACTAAGAGAAAATTCCTAATTTCATTTTTATTTTTTTTTGTACAAAAAGCAATTGGAAATAAGACATAAGAAAATTTGTGCAAAATAAGCATAGAAATAAGCAAATAAATACAGAGGTTAAAGAGTATATCTATACGCGTATTTATATATATATATATATGTATGTATGTATAAGCACATATAATCGTACAGAAAACAATAATTTCCTGCGTACTAATTTAAACATTGAACAAAGTGTTCATTGTTTCAACAATATAATCAATATACACAAAGATGTATGCATTATGATTGAATAAGAAAAATTTGTATCTATTTTAAAACGTACACACAAATATAACATAATAATAATAATAATAATAATATGTATACAGTGAGTAATATGAATATAATTTTAATGAACTAGTTTTTACGATAATACAGAGTAGTAATACGAATTCACATGTTAAATATAGCTTCATTTAAAATACACATACGAAATAGACGAAATAAAATAGAAGCATTTTTTTTAGTCTAGATATAATTCCCTGTGTGTAGGTGTTTGTGCGTTGATAATTTAATTATTGTACGTTTTCTTTTTGAAAAAAAAAAAGAAAAAGTAACTAAGACGAAACAATATGAAGCTTTTAAGTAGTTTTTTTTTTCTCATTTTCAAAAACCAAAATCATTTACTTCAACTCGTATTTTAATTTTACTAAAATTAAATTTCATTGATAAATCTTCACAACGTACTAAATGACCTAGACTACCACGTCGTATAGCCCAATATGGTCGACGAAAACGTTTACAACTTAAACGTGCATAACGTTCAGTCCAATAGTGTATATGTATAGAATCAGAAAATAGATTTGCATTTTCATTGCATAATAACGAGAGGAAATGAAAATCTGAACAATATAAATATGGTGAATAACTAACAGTCAATGTACGTATTTCACAATGTGTATCTTTGAATGCTGTATAAGCTAATAGACGAATATAATCAGCGAAAAAACAACGTCGACATTCATCAACACCAGTTAAAAATATATTCGGTTGTGTTGTTACACCCATATAATTTCCACTAGTATTAAATAACCAAAATATATGTATAAAATTTTCATAGAAATAAATAATTTGTCAAATTAATCCAGTTAAATTTAAAAAACCTATACTTAATATAGACATATTGACAATAAATGTTGTTTGAAGCATACAAATGAATAATTTATGAGGTGGTTGATTTTCATTAATTTGACATATAAATAAAGGAGCGAATGGTGTACCTTTATAAATACCAATTATAGTAAAAGTAAATAAGATAGTACATCCTTGAAATACCAGCAGTACTAAATGTTTAGTTAAATATCTTGACCAATAGAAATCAGTATTTTTGCCATGCAGCTAAATACGTGTTCATCTGCATGGCATGCATGAAAACATGGTAGATCTAATAAACCTGGAGCTGATAAATCAGCATCACCAAAACTTAACGGTAAAGCTGGTGAGAGTGTTGGACTGTCAACAAGTGCACCACCACCGCCGCCACCACCAACAACTGCACCAGCACCTCCACCTCGAATTGTACCAATTGTTGCTGACTGTTGTTGTGCATGAATCACGGTAGGTGCAGTTGTTTGTGATAAACCTGAAGCACCACCAAATGTTGCAGCAGTTGTACGTCCACTAGCTCCTTCATTTTGACAATTATATCCTGTTCCAGCATGAGGATAAAATGAACCATTTGGATGTAATGTAGGAGGACCTGGTGGTATTGTTGAGACAGGTGAGAGAAACGTTCCAGTCGGTGCACCTACATCAGTTGATGCAGTTGCAAGTGTTTGTAAGTATGCAAGTTCTTGAGTAACAGCTCTTCGAAAACTATGCAATTCAGCACGTACTAAACATAAAAAAAAAAAAAAAGTTCGATCTGTCAAACGATGGTACAAATAATGAGGAATCCACATCGCTATGGCATATATAATTAATACGAATGGATAACATTCATGCTGTAGACGAATAGTACTGATTTCTCTAGCGGTTACATCCGATTCAGAATGAATTTGAATTGAAGATTTAAAAGAATTTGGTAATGGTTTCACTGTTCCTTGAAGTACTTCTGTGGTCAATTGTAGACCACATGCACGGTCTATGAATGTGTTTGTAATGGTGTAATAATCAATTTTGTTTTCTTTTGTATCTGGAAGACAACGTGTAACGCCTAGAATAGCATGAAGTAACAAGAGAACAAATGCTTGGATTACAGGGATACATACACTCAGAATGAATAAAATCCTATCAATCCAGAAATTTGTTTTAAATCGTGAATAAGTGGAGGCAACAACTCCAGCACTAGTATAAACATCGGGATTAGTAAATACATGATGATCTTTAGATCCATGAAGGAATGGGATGTCTATGGAAGCCATTAATATTTCATCAGAATATTTCACGATATCTGGTGTTTATTTATGAAAAGTAATCGAACATTCGAAATAGTTGTCGAATTTTAAATATTTAATAATTATGCATTCAATAAATAAATGTCAAAAAATCCATATTCAAATAATTTCTTGATTTTCTTTAAACTGATATAATTCATGAAATCGGTTAATCGAATAGCATCCACAATGATTCTCGCTACAACTTTTAACCGTGTTCTTTGAAGTTATCTTCAAGAAATTCTAACATTATTGAGGCAGTGCAACCATTGTATAAACAGAAAATCCTAAAATGAATCAGATGCGTGTTACATTGTACATTGTGTCTATTCGCCCTACCTTCAGAAATGTAAAAAAACTGGATTGGTGAAATCTATTTTATTGACCTCTGTTTTGATTCGCCAATCATTTTAGTTTAGAGTGAAGGCAACCAATCACAATGCAGATTTTAAGTTAGTCAGCAAAACAAATAATGAGACTTGGAATGAACTTACCTTTTGAGACAACAATAGTTTACTTGTAAACAAATTAAATTTCGAAAATAAAAATAATGATAAGAAAAATTAAATTTTAAATTTAGTGCCTACAAAATGAATTAATTAAATCTTATATAACAGTCATTTGATTGTATGAATCTGATAATTAAATAAAGTGTTATTACGTTGAAAACTGTTTGTATGGACTCACATTAAAAGAAAAAAAATCAAATAAACATCTACCCTAATAATGAAACTAGTATAAGCTTGATAGACGGACAATCACTGTCTACATGAACAGTTTAATAAAGTGAATTCTATGTCATTTCAGTAGTTTAAAGACTGAGAATCTTCGATTCGATATAGGATGAATTCTTCAGTGTACACTTTTGAATTAGAACAAAACAGTTTTTATGGTATTGATATTAATATTTCTTAAAAATGTCCAAAAAATCGACCTCATTAGGTTGTATACAGATGATAATTTTGTGATACAATAAAATGAATTTACATTACTACCTAGAAATCTTTATTATCTATGCTTTGTTCATAATTTCAATTTTTCTGAAAAATTCTTGTTCATCATCTTTGTTTGAACATGAATAAGTTTACAATATAAAGTTAAATGCGATAAAAACAACATAATTACATGTACATATCTATAGAATTATGCACTAAAAGTTTTTTTTAAATTTACAGGCAAAAGATTTAATAGTAATTAAAATTATCTATTTATTTGTACATGTAAAATTTTGTCCAAAATCACAGAATATTGTTGATGGGAAATTTTATGTATTTTCCTTGCACAATCTTCTTATGTTAATTTAAACCAAAAAAATTAACTTGTTTAAATTCAGCATAAAATGACAGAAATTATCATAATAAATGTTATAAGTAGTAGTAGTAGTAGTAGTAGTGTAGTGAACGAGAACACAGGTGGGGCAACCGAATTGTATTTAGCGAAATTACAGAGTTACTCAGTAAAATTGGAAAATCATATCGTAAATCGTTAATTTGAAAAAAATATCAGTTCATCATATCGACCTGGACTGTTCCCGCAGCAAAACATCAATGCAATGTCACTGTTCATGCGTTTCATACAAATTCCATTGTTTTCTAACTCTTCCTTTCTTGGTCTTCCCCCATATTATGCTGCCAGACATTACGTTGACACTCACGTCATATACTACTTATAAATAGCTCACACCACAGTAGTAGTAGTAGTAGTATGAAGCTAGTCTTATACATGAGTGAAAAAACTACTGTAAAGAAATTTTCAATAAAAAATAACCCTAAACTTAGTTATACGTTAGTATCCGCACAATCAAATGACTAACCATGTATTCAATAAGGATTAAGAATTACTAATAACGTTGTAGTAAGAAGCTTTAATCACTAGAGATACAAGTAACACTTAGAGTAGTGGTTAGTGTCTATACTATATAGCAAAATAAGGAATGTAACAAGTAGAATCCTTCTTCTTGATGTACAGGTAATGTGTTCTGTAAGAGGAGTCTAGTCCGTGGGTTCGATCCTGTCCAGATTTCGGAGGCGAATTGTTAAATGGTTCCAGAATACAAACTAAAAACTTCTCATCCATCAGTGACTTCCTCTGATGCCCCCCAGGGTTCCCTTCAGCAATGAGAAGTCAATTTTCTGATGTAATTTACTTATACATTCGTGTTTTTAAATTTGATTTTTATCAGACTCGGGCAAAAATGATAGCATAGTCATCTTCCTATGAGTGCTGAGTGTGTTTTAAATATTTTACTGGCAAACCCCATGAATCAGAGAGGTATAATTACTACTCATTATCTCTGTAGCCCCTGAAATTTAAACGAGGCTTGAAAGCGGATGAAAATATAACCTGACTTTCAAGCCCTCTGGTAAAACGAAAAACACATCACTCTTTTTCACATAACAGACGTTGAATAGTATCATTAATTTGATTATGAAGTTAGAAAATATTCAACTGGAAATTTTGTCATCTTAAATTAATTTTCAGTCAAAAAGTTTGTGGTTTTACGCAGATATCATCATATCACAAACTGTTAAGTCTCTAGATGAATGAAAACAAATAAATAAGATAAGCCTTTGCGAATCGATTGATTGATTAAATAACTTCAAAGTTATTTAGAACCTGTTGCATATAAGCAGAGGTGACACACACACACACAAAATAATCCTTTACTTTTGAACACATTGTTTAAAACAAATAGTCAAAAAAAAATGATTTTCAAAAAATGACTTGCAATTAATTAATTAATTAATCGATGGTACTTGTTTCATATTGAACGATATAATTAATGTTAAAACTTGTGAATTATTCCTGTGTTGAAATTGATAATTTTCTGTTATCATGAAATAGTGAATATCATCTCTTAAAATTTCTTTAGAAAATTAAAAATTCAATACTCAAGATTTGCATTGCGTATTTTTTTTCAAATAAAAATTTATTCTCTTATCACCTTATTCAAATCATAAATCTATGCATAAACTAAACTGAGCTAAATGTTTTTATTTTTATAATAATCCGATAAAAATATAAACAATGGATTATTTCTTCTGTCTAATTACATAAAAAAAAACACTTAATCATCGATTTTTATCAGTGAAAGAGGTGCTCGAAGAATTTATGCACATTATTGAATTATATGATTTACACAATTAGTTAGCTTTAGGTTAAACAATCAATGGAAGCTAAGATTCACCAGACAACTGTTTTTTTCCTAACACTATACTCTTTACATGAATATTTATATGAAAATATAAACCAATCAAGCCAATTTGAGTCAATAATCACAATGCAATGAAATAGATTACGTCACGTTTGATCTACTATTGATAAAACTTTTGTTATCGTATTTTATTTTTCTTACCACTATCAATACACCTGTTTTCCTAATATCAACTTTTACTTTTGCCTATTATGTGTATGACGTAATCTATTTCATTTCATTGTGATTGTTGACTCAAATTCCCTAGATTGGTTTACATTTTCATATAAATATTCATGTAAATTAGAATAAAGCCTGATAACGATCTAATCAAAAACTATACTCTTTAGCAATGTGTGTCTATGACTCTATTCCAGAGTGAACCCATAAACATTAGGTTGAGATCAACCATTTCGTGTGTGGAGTTACCCATCAATAACATTGGAAGTTGATTGCAAAATATCATGAATTGATTGAAGTTACTAATGTATATTCCTAGAGATCGACTAAGTGATTTAAACGTTATATGGTCTCAAAATCTTTGTTTTAGTCTTCAATGTGGTTATAAATGCACACCATTGAGGAAACCCATATGAAGCCAAAACAATTGTGTAATACTTCATAGTTTAATATGATTGTCTGTAGAAAAATTGTGATGTAAAGTAAATGAAAAAAAAATAGTTACAAGAACAAACTGATTAATTGATGTCGTAATCTTTTTTGTTGAAGCACTTGTTAGTTAAGATTTTACACTATGAATGGTTGTCAGCATAATTTATATTATTTAAATGATAAGATAAAGTATATGTCAGTGGAAAAAAAAGCATACATTCTCCTTTATTCACTGATTTATCAACGTACAGATTTATCATCCGAAGACAATAATTCATATTGACACCAATAACTAATCTTCTCCATTATCAGTTATACTTCTACTATCTCTATCATTATGGGATTTGAATTGACAATTGCGTCTCTGTGCTAATATGATATGGCAACCTGAATTGATGTAATTACGTAAGAAGTTCTACGTTGTAATTGACTGAATGACCAACTGTATTTTGTTATTGAAATAAGTATAAATCAAATGAAAGTTCCATAACAATCCTACTTTTTCAGGGAAATATTCATGCAATCAATAAAACAAAGCGTAAATCATCTATAAATTTATCAATAGATGAAGTGGTGAAACTTCATCAGTTGAGGTGGTTGGGACATCTGTTACGTATGCCTGACCACCGACTGCTCGACGAGTTATGTTTTGTGTTGTAGGATTAGATTGGAAGCTCGGGGCAGCCAAACCAAAACATGGAAGAAATCCATGAAGTCACTGACAAGTGGACTGAGTCATGTTGGTAGATGTAGGCTACCTGGTTGGGGTCCGCGAGACGAAAGTTACCAATGGTTAGAGGCCTTGAATGTCATGGCTCAAAACAGTTTGCAATTTAAATATATTCATTGGCATGAGGAGGTATTCTATTTGGTCAGTGACAGTATTTCTAATTACCATACTATTAAAATATGAATTTTTAAATATATTTTCAGTGTATCTTAAGCATATTATTACAACAAAGCTCATAGCCATTCTAGTCAATTACCTCTTATAATCAAATAAAAATAACATGTTGTCCAAATATTATTAGTTTTTTTGTCAAAAAAAGCTTTAACGTACATACTTATAATTATAAACAGTTTTAAATGAAGTGGTATCCTGTGGAGGACATCATTATTCGTTAATATTTACTAAAAATTTATCATCTAAAACAAATTTTCAATTTAGAATTCTTATTTTAAA